CACTAGGACGCAAGGGGATACTGGGTGTGGAAGAATTAGAAAACAGAAACAATGCTAAGGTGCGAGAACAAAGAAAGAATAATCAGGAGGACAAAAGCAGTTTTCACAAGCGAGAAGTGCGAGAAAAGAAATTGTTGGCATAGAAATTACGGTTGCATCTAGCCAATTCAGATGTGAATTGATTAGAATTCGTTACTAGTCTAGTACTGCACTTAAATTTATAAAATCTAGTTGAGGGTTTGGCAACCCCTGGTCTAGGGAACATAGCGAAGATCTCATCCTACCAATTACCATGAAAGTATTATAAATACATTCATGTTAATGGCTCGGATGAAAAGACATTAGGTGCCGGTGGGATAGAAGCCGAGAGGTCAGATCAGGACCATTAATATAACTTATTCTTCTTTGGATTTTATCAAGGATTTCTAGATATGCAGAAAGAGAAGCGGACAGTATGTGGCAGCGGTATTCTAAGTATGATCGAATGGTAGACTTATAAATATTCAAGTTATATTCTGGGCTGAAAAAATGGCGACATTTTAGTGGCTGAACTAGCAATGAATTTAATACAGATTCTCCACTCAATGTCAGCCAAGAATTTTAGCCGGAGAAGGCACAACAATTCACTCTCCTGGAGATTAACATCACCCATCCCGATGGAAGAGAGAAAGGGACTCTCAGGTGAAAAGAACAGACATTTTATGTCTATTAAATGTATTGATCTTTTTGGGAGGAAATACTTATAACTTCGCAAATACGGATGATGCTGGTGATTTCGTATTTTAGATAACTTTGTTTGCAAGAACAATTGCTGCTAAGATATGCTAAACACACACACACGCACACACACACACAGACACACACACACACATATATATATATATATATATATAATTTATGTTTATATTATATTTGTATTTACTTTGTAATGAGCACTCTTTTAAGAATAGTAATTGTGGTTATTGGAATTTTTTCGTATACACCAATCCTATACTTGGAAGTGCTATCTGATGATCCAGCGTCCTTTAAAAGGGCTCTGGTGAAATAAATTATTATAATGGTACCTTAAAGTGGTCTGTTTTTTTCCTTTTAAATTCATATATATATATATATATATATATATATATATATATATATATATAGTCGAATGCGTGTGGAATATGACTGACCAATGAAAACGAAACAACAGAAAAGTAAAAATAACAGAATTTCTTTTGTATTTTATTCTGTTTTTAAAGCATTATATATCTTAAAAGGAATATCAGAATACCCTTCTGTAGAGCGGAGACCCAATATCATCATCGAGTCGTATAAATAATTTAATACTTTCCCGAGCACATCCATTTTAGAGGGACTAACAATTCCCTACTGCAGACGTCCTCTCAGACACATTTCTCTTTATGACAGAAATCATCTATGCTGAGGACACGTAATCTGGCGTGATCACCAGTTTGAATAAGGTCAGTACTCTCAAACCTTCATTAACGATGACTTGATAACTTCTGCACAGTTCATTCATAAAGATTGTGGTATGGATTTCAAAAACATTCCAACGGTTTCCCGCGCTGGAATGGCCTACCCGGGCCAAAAATGAGATTCAAACCCGTGCCTCATGGTTAGTAAACGAAAGTTCTGACCACTTAGTCACACAGGCCCATGTAAATTGTTATAGTGGAACACACCTATTCTATAGTTAATAGACTCTCTCAACTCTAATAAGTAGGAGTAGTAATAGTAACGAGCAGTCGCTCAGAGGGTCGGTCTGAATTTAGTCTGAAGTTGAACGACCGGCTGGGTTGAACTCTCTGCCTTCGGGCCTGAAGGAACCCGATCGAGACTACGCCGAAGGGCGGAGTCTCTTTTGGGGAATTAAACCGACCCTGAACCCGTTTATACGGGTTTTAAAAGGGCATATTTTTGGCTGAGCCCACAGACTCGAAGATCCCACGTTAAACCGGCCTTGTGCCACATGATGCCCTCGGGGGGGTGACTGAATACCGCTCAGTGGGTCGGTCTGAGTTCAGTCTGAAGTCGGACGACCGGTTGACCGGTTGAACTCTCTGCCTTTGGGCGGGGAGGAACCCGAACGAGGCTACGCTGAAGGGCGGAGTCTCTTTCGGGGAGGTAAACCGATCCTGAACCCGTTTATACGGGTTTTAAAAGGGCATATTTTTGGCCGAGCCCACGGGCTCGGAGATCCCACGGGCTCGGAGATCCCACGTTAAACCGGCCTTGTGCCACATAGTGCCCTCGTTGGGGGGGGGGTGACTGAATACCGCTCAGGGGGTCGCTTAGTCAGTCGATGCCGGACGACTGTTAGTCGGATACTAAAGTATCAGCAACCAAAACTAGATTACTCTGCGTTATATCTATTATATCAAGTTTCTAACGTTTTTGTACGTCGAACCTATTTTAGAACCGACTTAGTACAAATACAAGCCTCTACTGTGAAATCACTCCACAACGTAAATAGAGTTTAACAAACTTTCGGTTCTTTAGTTTTCGATACCCCATATCACTTCAAGACGTTTGCGATCATGGCTCTCCACAATTTCCTATCCTTAGTCAGTTTGTTTTTTTCTTTTTGCTATCTCTCCTAAACCCTATTTCCTTAATCGTTTACACACGTCAGGAAGGTTATGCACGGCTTTCCTCTGTCATTCTTGCCCTAAACATGACCTGTGAGTATCAAATATTCCAATCCTTCTTTCCTCGTTATGTATCATAGAAAGTAGCCCGTGAGTAAGACAAAATGAAGAAAAAGACATTAGATGAAGAAGCTGAAGAAGACAGATGAGAAGAAAAATTTTTTAAGTAGAAGTTGGGAAAGAGAAAAAGAAAGAGAAATAAAATAGAGAAATTGAGTAAAAGAAGCATGAAAAGAAAAAGTGTAAATTATATGTAAGATTTCGTCCGAGAATAAGAAAGAGAAGGCGAATAAATCAATTTAAAGTAGCGGGAAAAAAAAAGAAGTAGAAGCGGAGAAGAAAAAGAAGCTGAAGTAAGCAAACGATAAAAAAGATTTTAAGATAGAATCTGAGAAAAAGAGGGAAAATAAAATGAAAAAAAAAGGGAAAAAAATTGGATGCCAAATATACGTTATCTTTGACTATGAATAATTTTCTAGAAACTGACATATAGGAAGAAGAATAAGAAAAAGTAAGACGAGGAGGAGGAGGGATTTAAGAAACAGTTTTTAAAGTAGAAGAAGTAAAAAGAGAAACAAAAAGAACGAGAAAGAAGAAAGAGGGAAATGAAACAAAAAAGAGAAAATTCTTTTTCTCTTTTGTTTTTGCTTAAAGAGAAAAAAAGCCAAAAGAAAGAGAGAAAGAAGAAAAAGAAAGAAAAAAGAAGTAAAAAAAGAAACAGAAAAAGAAGAAAAATGAAGCAAAAAAGGTGAAAAAGAAGACAAAAGAAAGAGTAAAAGAAACAAAAAAGAAATAGGAAAATGAAGCCAAAGATAAAGAGGAAAAGAAGGAAACAGAGAAAAATGAAGGAAAAAAAGGAGAAAAAGAAGCAAAAATAAAGAGAAAAAGAAAGAAAAATGAAGCCAAAAAATAAAGCATAAAGAAAAAAGAGTAAAAGAAACAAAAGAGAAATAGAAAATGAAGCAAAAAAGAGGAAAAGAAGAAAAAGAGAAAAATCCAGCAATATAGAAAAAGAAAAAAAAGAAAGAGAAAAGGAGCAAAAAAGAAAGAGAAAAAGAAGGAAAAGAAAGAAAAAATGAATCAGAAAAGAGGGCGAAAAAGAATAAAAAGAGAAAAAGAAACATAAAAGAAATTCAAAAATGAAGCATAAAACAGTAAAAAGAAGAAAAACAAAGATAAAAGAAGCAAAAAAAGAAGAAGAAAATGAAAAAGAAAAAGAAAGAGAAAATGAAGAGAAAAATCCAAGAGAAAAGAAGAAAAAGAAAAATGAAGCAAAAAGAAAGAGAAAATGAAGCAAAAATTAAAGGGAAAAAGAAGAAGAAAAAGAAAGAGAATAATGAAAAAGGAAAAGAAGAAAAAAGAAAAATGAATCAAAAAAGAGAAAGAAAAAAGCAAGAAAATAAAATGTGTAAATAATGTAACAACCACTTTCAGTTACTCTCTGCATTCAGTGGCTCTTGGACCTTATAGTAGGTGAACAATGGTATAAGAAACACGCATTTATATGTATTCTAAACCTGTAGATTCCTGTGCTGGATTCAAGGGCTGAATAGTGAAATTTTACTTCTCTGGTTGATATCGCATATAGAATTTTACGAATTGGTTTTTCTAACCCTTTACAGTATTAGATCATTGTTTTCTTGTAAATCAGAATATATGCATATTCTATTAGCTCGCTGTAAAATGCAAATGGAAGACTAATATATTTAAAATATAGAAAACTGTATATAAGAATATGTTGATTTTGGTCTGCATCACTTAAGAAGGGAACATCTTAATGCGATTCTTTAAAACTGAAGATGATTGTAAAACGCAATTATCTAAGTTTTCATGTCTTGGGCGAAGGATTTTTAGAGAAAAGCCGAAAGGAACATATCTGACGTATATTGAAGCCACTCCACATAATGGAAATTTGTGCAAAATGGTGGACGTTGTAAATTATTCAATATATTTAATATAAAAAGCCACATTATTTCCCGAGAATGTTTTTTTGTTAAAACTTAATTTAATTTCGCGGTGAAATTGGGTATACATGCATCACTAATCACAAACATACTCGCTTACGACGCATGCGCTTTTGCACGCATTTCAGCCACTGACAACTGACGTCATTTGAAAGCTCTGCGACAGCTTAGAGAATTTTTATGAATATTCCAAAATCTCTGTTTAATGATGACATTTTCGTAACATCTTGGGAATTTCTGGAGACTACTTCAGGAACTCTCCTGGGTATTAAGAGAAAGTCGATTGAGTGCTTCTTGGAAAGTGGGAAGATAAGGCAAGATCACGTCATAGAAAGTTTCTGTAATCATGGGAATGGTGATAATGCAGCGCTAATATGATTAAAAATAATCAACTACTGACGCGAGATACAAGAGGTGGATTGGAACGATGGTAGGAGAGATCAGGTAGCTCACAGGACAAAAAAAGGGTTATGGAAAATAAGGAGCAGACAAGGAAGTCAAAGAAAAGTTTGGAGAAAAATTCGCTGCAATGCCAGAAGACGGGCAGAGAAAGAATAATGGAAGAAAAAGATATTAATAAAGAAGAAGAAAAAGAAGAAGAAGAAGAACAACAACAACAACAACAACGAAGTGGAGGAGGAGGAGGAAATGGAAGAGGAGGTGGAGGAGGAGTATATGAAGATGGAGGAGAACGAGAAAAAAAGAAGAAAAAGGAACAATAACAAAAGGAAAAGGACGACGACAACGAAGAAGAAGCAGAGGGCGAAAAAAAAAGAGGAGGACGAGGAAGAAGAAGAGGACGAGGAGGAAGAGGACAAAGAAGAAGAATAACAACAACAACAGCAAAGAGGAGGATGAAATGGGGAGGAGGGGGAGGAAAATAACAAGATGGAGGAGAAGAAAAAAGAACAACAGTAACAAAAAGAAAAGGACGACGAAGACAGAGAAGAAGAAGAAGAAGAAGAAGAAGAAGAAGAGGACGAAGAAAAAGAGGAAGACGACGAAGAAGAGGGCGAGGAGGAAGTGGACAAAGAAGAAGAAGAAGAAGAAAGAAGAGGATGATGAAGAAGAGAAGGATGAAAGAAGAAAATGAGAAAGAAGAAGGATGATAAGCAGTTTTCTAAAGTACAGGATGTAAAAGACAAAGAGTAAAAGAAAAAAAAACAGGAGCTAAGATGAGAAAGAGAAAAATAATGAAGGAAATAAAATGTTTAAAGTAACACTTCATCCGATGACAGGAAACAGAAAGCGAAGAAACCTATTTAAAAATGTTCAACGAAAAAAAAGAAACAGAAAGGAAGAAGAAAAACAAGTTGATATAGTCAAATGAAAAAAGGATTTTGAGATAGAAACTGAAAAAGAGAAAAGGAAAAATAATCCTGTCCAACAATGATTTTGCTATAGAAACAATAATACAATTTTCCAGGCTAATTTCTTTTTTAATAGATCAAGAAAATGAATTTTCATGACATGACTCCAGGTATTTATTTTTTTTTTTTGATTGATTTTGTTTGGCGGTATTTCAACCACTATGTGTTATTTAATGCCGAAATCTAAATAATTTGAAAACAATTTATGGCTCCAACTAAAAATATATTGAAAGCATTTGTATGCCTTCTACTACAGTTAAAATGTATTGTTGGTTATTTTGCAATAAAAATGTGTTTTTGTCATTTTAATATATGTATTTTTTATCTTTTCTACATAAAAAATTATTGCTAGTATTTTTATCATCAAAATATATTTTTTATACATTTATACTGTAATATATATAAATATGTATGTGTATGTGTGTGTGTGTAAAGAAAGTAATAGATTTTTATTAATCCAACAGATTTTTTATCAATTTAATCGTTATTTTTATAGACACTCGTATTTGAATAGACGCTCCGTTTATTTATTATACTGTATATTTTGCGGATTGACTATTTGCCCATCGCTGGGAACCTAACATAGGCTACAACCATGGATCAGGATAGACCTGGAAACGACAGCAGTTAAGGTGGTGCTTCTTGGCTCGTCGAAACCCACACTAACCTGGTCATAGGCTTTGTTGTCGGATGTAATTTATAATCGTTCCCAGGGCTTTCTTTTATTTTGTAAGTTTTAAATTAAAGTCTCCCAAATTTCGAAACATTCAGTTTTCTGTGTATATGTATATGTATTAAACATGTTCATATAAACGTTTTATTTCATTTAAAATATTAGGTTGGTGCAAAAAAATGACGTAATAATGTCGTTTTTGACGTATTTTTTAACGTCAAAAAACGACATTATTACGTCATTATTTTTACACCAACCTAATAGTTAAGAAAACACAGGCTTCTTTATTAAAAGAACATTACTTTTCAGTGTATTTGTGTTTAGCATATGGCCTGTCTCTCTAAAGAGTCCAGCAGAAACCCTTTGCTTTTATAACGATTTTCTATTTTCACAATATCTTGGTGAAACCTTTCACCATGTTAGGCACTGATTAATGCTGCGTTTTTTAGAAAGTAGGGCAGACGTAAAAGCAAATAATTGCACCTTTTGTGACATACTGCATCCTAAATTTTAATATGCTTCAATGCTTTTTGGAACTATTATTTCGTATTAGCGGCTTTCAAGGAGATTATGACACGCGCCTTTGAAAAGTTTCCAGGCTTCTAATTCCAGTTCGTTAATGTTGCTTCAAATTCATTGTTTCTCATGAGCTCTTGAATCTGGGGCCCGAAATAGATCCCTTCTTTAATGTGTACATTCATCATCGTGTGTCGACCGCAGTCGAGATCATGAAGTCCCACAACACTACGCCAGACCTCTCGGTCCTTCATTGCTCTCCCCAAGTCCTGCCTACCAATGTCTGCATTCCTTGAGATGATATCAGGGAATTATAGTTTTCTGCCTCTGTTCAGGTTTGACGCAGGCTTCTAGTGTAGAAGAGAGAGGATATAACCTTATTTTAGCATTACTCTGCTTGGAAATGTCAAATTTAAATATACAAATGATGTATTATCGTGCTTAAAGGCTTTCCCAAACTGTTTCATTAATTCAGATTTCATATAAAGTTGTGGCAAGATTGTTTTCATTGGCCACTAACGGTTCGCATATAACGTTTTTCTGACCAATTTATGTCTCTTTTCTTAATGGCTATTCTATCAGTGTGTAAGGTTCATCATTGAGAGAAAAACACTATAAATGTCGTATAGTTTTCCTGCAACCCATTCAGAATATCGGATACATAAGAAATGAAGGGATTAACGACATTACTCAATGTACATAATTTTGTTTAAAATAAAATCAAGCAGCAGATATGTGGCGGCCATGATTTATCTTGGTCGCCATGTTTGATTCAAAAGTATAAATTGTATAGTCTTTTAACAAGAGGGATAATATTTATTTTATTCTTTCTAATGGTTACAGAGCCACATGTGTAGCAGAGGTTATATGGACGATTTTTTACATTTTCCGCTTGGTATTTTTAATCATTTTTTTATTTTATCAGAAAATAATATATAAAAGAGGTAAATTTTTCGAAAACATGAACATTTTCAATAAATGGTAGTTGGCAACTTACAAAGACCTAAAGTTATTTCGTAAAAAAGTAATCTCATTTTCATAATCTAATTCAAAACGACGTCCTGGGTAAGACGATAAACTACATCAAATAGCAATACCTCTGATAAGAAGGGTTTGATGAGTGTGGAACCACTTCTTAATTGCTGGTATTCCCAGGGTCCACACTGACCAGGGGTGGTAGCACCTGTTAGGGTCCCAGCCATGGCCAAATAGTTAACCCACAAACTGGGGTCAAAACGTGTAAAAATAGGTTTTAATAGCAGCAATAAATTTTCGAAGAAAAGACTATTACCAGCAATACTTTTTTGTAAGAAATATTACGAGCAATATTTTTTTGAAAAAAATATTACCAGCAATACTTTTTCGAAAGAAATATTACCAGCAATACTTTTTGAAAGAAATATTACCAGCAATACTTTTTCGAAAGAAATATTACCAGCAATACAGTATTACCAGCAATAGCTTTTTGAAAGAAATGTTACAAGCAATACTTTTTTGTAAGAAATATTACCAGCAATACTTTTTCGAAAGAAATATTACCAGCAATACTTTTTTGAAAGTAATATTACCAGCAATACATTATTACCGGCAATACTTTTTTGAAAGTAATAATACCAGCAATACATTATTACCAGCAATACTTTTTAAAGTAATATTACCAGCAATACAATAAAACTCTTGTCGACGTTGAGGTTGATATACCGTAAAACAAAACAAAGCAAACCAAATCTAACTCAACACGACCCTAGAGAACGACAGTCTTATCTTTGTAGTCGACAAATGTTAAATTTTGTTCGTCGTGAATGAACGAACTCAAGAAAGAAATAGGTGCAAAATGCTTGTGATACTTCGGCTGCGGAGAAGGTCATGAAGACAACATAGACGGATAATCGCCAAAGAAGCAGGCATAATACAGGAGAAAAACAAGCTGAAGAATTCAAAAGAGATTTTAAGATAAGGAGAAAAAGGAGATGAACCAAAAGAAAGACAAAATCATGATAGATATTTAACAAGAATCAACACCAGTCACCGAATCCAATAGAGAACGATCTAATGAAGATTTGGTTTTTGTTTTACGGCATATCAACCTCAATGCCGACAAAATTTGTATTGCTGGTAATATGTTTTTCTTCAAAAATCTATTTCTGGGAATATTTTTCCTTGAAGAAATCTTTACCTGGTCATATTCTTTTTTCAAAGAATGCATAGCTGTTTGTATTGCTAGTACTTTTTTTGTTTTTAAATTATTGCTGATAATAATTTTTCCTGCAAAAATTATTGCTGGTAATATTTTTTTATTACAAAGTATTTCTGGTATTAAAGCCTATTTTTACACAAGTTTGGGTGTTAATTATATGCCCATAGCTGGGACCCCAACAGGTGCTACCACGCCGGGTCAGGGTGAACCTGGGAACACCAGCAATAAAAAAGTGGTTCCACGATCCTCAAAACCTCCTGATCAATGGTCTTGCTGTTGGACGTAGTTTATCGTCTTACCCAGGTCGCAGGATGTAGTTTATCGTCATGCCCAGGACGCGGATGCAGTTTATCGTCTTACCCAGGACGCGGATATAGTTTATCGTCTTACCCAGGACGCGGATGTAGTTTATCGTCATACTCAGGACGCGGATACAGTTTATCGTCTTACCCAGGACGCGGATGTAGTTTATCGTCATACCCAGGACGCGGATGTAGTTTATCGTCATACCCAGGACGCGGATGCAGTTTATCGTTTTACACAGGACGCGGATGTAGTTTATTGTCATACCCAGGACGCGGATGTAGTTTATCGTTTTACACAGGACGCGGATGTAGTTTATCGTCATACCCAGGACGCGGATGTAGTTTATCGTCATACCCAGGACGCGGATGCAGTTTATCGTTTTACACAGGACGCGGATGTAGTTTATCGTCATACCCAGGACGCGGATGTGGTTTATTGTCAGGACGCGGATGTAGTTTATCGTCATACCCAGGACGCGGATGTAGTTTATCGTCATACCCAGGACGCGGATGCAGTTTATCGTTTTACACAGGACGCGAATGTAGTTTATCGTCATACCCAGGACGCGGATGTAGTTTATCGTCTTACCCAGGACGCGGATGTAGTTTATCGTCTTACCGAGGACGTGATCTAATGAAAAGGGAAAATTATAGAACAAATAGAAGCTGAATTCGCCAAATAAATAAAGAAAGCTTTTAAAGTAGAAGCGGGGAACAAAAATGAAAGAAGAAAACATAGATGAAGAAACGAGAACAAAGAAACTGAGGTAAATGAATGAAATCAACCGGCGGGAAACGGCCCAGATTTCTGCCAATAAATACAAACTCACAGTTTCATGAGCAATGATTTTCCATGCGATTAGGATCTGGAGAACGATATCTACATCTGGTCACTGGTCCCAGATTTAGCAAATTGATTGGTTTGGCTATTTCGCCGATCCTTGATATCTTAGTCACTGCTATCAGTGCTTGGTAATCTTTGTCCTAGTGATATTCATATGATTGCTAGTCATGTGACCCACCATAATACAGGTATATCTCACACTAAATATTCTGCTCAGACATCTAATGATGGTCTTAGTACTCCTTAACTGTTTCGAATGGACAATAGGACACTAGGTTGTCGACAGTTTCAAAATTTGCTTAACATTATCTTCAAAAATGTTCTACAAAATGTTTTATTATGTTTTCTTGGTAATTCCCGGTAAATATGTTCTGGTCCTCTGTAGCCATTATAAATGCTTTTATTCTTATTCTTATTTCTGTTGTATACATATTTACTTCAGGATCC